ATAGAACTGGACAAATATACTCCTTAGCATTATTCTGGAGTTATCTGCTAACTGCTCATAATTCCTCACGTTTATTCACTTGCTTACTGTTTACACTTGCTGCAAAYGTAATGTATTTCTACCAAGTGTAGCCTGTGAGTTGTTCATGTAATGACTGCCAGGATTACTTTTATACTCATGAGAATCTTGATTCAGTCCCTTTTAACACAGCAGAAACTTTATATTTTTTTCGGTATTTTGGACCTTGTCCTACTTTTGATTGCTCTCCTAAATCACGTATTTCCCAGGTTAGATGTCTTCAGATACATAAACAGGATGAGTCTTTTTTCCTATTCGTTGATTACCTGTCAACATTTGTAATTGTTCAATAAATTGATTTTACATGAAATAAAAAGCTTTTCATAATGATTATGAAAGCCCTTTCAGCAGGAATGTTCTCATTAATATTTATCCATGCCAATAACTGTGAGACTTGCTCTATGAGTGAAACCTCACACGCTACAGTATTTAGGATCAAGCTGAAAAATAGAAGAAATGAGAGAAATGTGAGAGAAAGCATCGTGTAAGCAAATACCAGGTTCTATGATGGGGGCGAGGGGGGAATTAATGATTGCTTCTGGGTTCTGTTTGTCCCCATTGTCCTTTTAAAAAAAAAAAAAAAAAAAAAAGCATCTAACAAATTTATATATAGATCTGGACAATGTAAAGGACATGGCCTAACTTTCCTTGTATAATCAAATAATCTTAGCCTTGTAGTACAGTCTTTTGCCTTGGCGAAATTTATCAGCTTTTCTAGTTTGGATTTGTGCTTGTTATGWCATTATCTTAATAAATATTTATTTATTATGATATTTGATCTCCTGAGTTTCAGCCAAAGATGTATGTGGTATAATGCTGAGAGAAGGTTAGCAAACTGGAGTGTCACTGCATAGTATTTCAAAACAGTATCCTCTTAATACTGACTACTGTAAACTTCAAGGTAGAATCAAGATTTTTCAGTTGTTCAGCTGCACCCATTGAATTCACAGTGGCTCTGTACTTGCCATATAATCCTGTACTTGGAAAGCCCTTAATTTTGAACAGATCAGATGATTATTAATAACTACCTTTCCAATGAAACAATTGTCATTAAAGTAAAAATTCTATTTTCTGCCCAAGAAACCAAGATATCCATTTGTATTTGTTTGTATTCCTAATAATACGTTTGTTACTTCCTATACTATAATACATTTAAGTTTCTAAGTATGCAGATATACAAAACCAGCATGCTTAAAGTGGATATGTAGATAACTATGGCTCAGAGTATGTAATGGGACAGATGCATAAATGTAATTTGAGGACAGAGAGAATCAAAATCAAGCACTTAATCCCTAAAGATAGTGCTTCTGTGCTTGCAAGAGGAGTTGGTTACAACTTTGGTTCTATCCCAAGGAAAACCTGGTCTGTAACAGGTTCAAGTTCATTTTAGACAGCAATAGTATGTTGTCTGTGCAGTCATTTATTTGGCATGGCAGGTAGAAAATGCAAGTAGAGGCATATGCAAGTTTCGGTGGGGTAGGAAAACAATAGCCAAATACACTATTATTCATTTTGTTGTGTGAGGAGCTCAAATGATCATACTGATAGATTGAATAAGGAAGAAGTATATATTTACCTGATTTTTTTGGAAAAGTTGCTCTTACCTGAATKAAGTGCTGCTTTTGATATTGTGGACAGACRCTGAGCTGACATAAAGTAATTTGGAGTAACCTGAAGTCAATAGAGCAGTGCAGTTTGCAGCAACTGAAGATTTTTTTGTTTCTTGTTTTTGTTTGTTTTAAGAGATTAGTAAGAGAGAGAGGTGAAAAATTTGAAAGCATCAGAGGTTTCTTTTCCAGATAATATTTCTAATTAATAACCTAGCTAGCACAAATAAGACAATTGTTGATTCTAACCCTCTTACCCGAGAGTCTTGGGAAACCAAAGTTTCTTGACTTCAATTCAAACAATTTAAAATGTTCATGTAGGGGTTTCACAGATGTTGTTTATTTCTCCACAGCTGTCTTGGGAGTGAACAGTGCCACTCTTTTTCTAGTTGCCTTGAGAATAGTATCATGTTTTGAAAGGATGAGGGGAGACTTTCATTACAGCAGTCTCTACCAGCTGAAGAACTGAACCAAAGAAAAATAAAATAAAACTAGGAAATGGAAGGAGTGAGGAAGGGAGAAATGATGAGGTTCTCATGAGCTGCTAACAGTATCAAGAGAGAAAAAGGGAAGAAAGCAGCTGGCTGGTAATTTATTATACCAACTTTAGGAGGAAAGGGAATTAAAACAAAAATAATTTGGGCATAAGCAAAGCATCTCTCACCTGCCCAATGATAGAAAGTGCCTAGGAATAAAAATAAGATCTGGCAGAGAAAAAAACATCATTTGGAAGCCTGTAGTATCTTCACTCCACTGGCARGAGTTGAGAGGAGGTGAACAGATTGTTTTGCATTAAACTAATCAATGCTAAATCTATTTGGTACCTTATGCCTGATAGTGATGGTCTTTCAAGCCCTAGGAAAATCCTAAGCATAATGTTCACCATATAGTATAAACTACATTTTCTTCCACCCTCTTTTTTTATAGCTGTCAAATTGTCTAGGCCACTTTGCTAGGAGTGCAGAGCCCTTCTGACCTCACTCAGAGAATAGGTAGCTGTAACATCAACATCAGCTGTTTCTCCCAAAATTATCAGCATTTTTTACTCTAYAGTTATAGTCTAAATGCCAATGATTGTAATTAATGCAGTGTTTGCTGACGATGGATGCTGATGTTTATCCTTTCTCAGATTGTTGCTTGCTATGAGCTTCTTGCAACTATCTCATTTTATCAAGTTTATTTCCAGCAGAGATTTGTCAGGAAGCAGGCATCACAGCACTGCTAAACCCTTTTGTTGTATATTCAAATGAGGGCAATTTGAGAGAAGAATGGATTTGATTTCAGAAACAGTTTTTAGTAGTTTTTGGCACATGGCACCTGACATTGAYATTTAATGATGCTGCTTCGCATAATATGCTTTATCATATAGATTCATACTAGTACAGTCTTTCATTTGAACAAGATTTATTTTCACAATTCATCTCAATTCTTCCAATAAATGTGTTTTTGGTTTGCAAATTGCAGTAACCAGCATTGTCATCTGACAGTTGCATGCTGTTGCTGAACATATGCATAATGTTTGCATGTTTATGACCTGCTTTGCATGTGTAGAAATGATATAACACCCTCCAGAAAATAGTAGTGTGCTTTTCTCACATCACTCAGTCCCYGTTTTAGGATCCAGATCTCTGTAGTCCCTTAGAATGTCTCCTATAGGCACAATTTTCCATGAGGACTTAGACCATCCCACAATTTGTTCTTTCAGGTAGACCTTTCTGTGTACTATTTGGTAATCTCTGGGATATGGTTATTATTAAACTAAACCAACGTGACTTTCAGGACYTGAACTCCATGAAATGTTCAGTAGGATACATGTAGGTTCTGCAATGACAAATGGTTCCATTAAATATTACATGGGTTATTTTCAGAAAGTTTAGCTTCACAGGGAGGAACTTKTGTACATATCCATATATTATTTATTGACACTTGTTCCATGTACACATCCAGAATGGCCTAATTCAACATCTGTTGCTGATTAAAGTGAGCATCTGGTATTTTAMAGGTAATTATGAGGCATAAGCTCATTGTCCTCCAGGCCTACCAGACAAATTGGAACCAGCACTCTAGGTGGATGGCAAAACAGAGCTCGGTGCTAAGGGCAGTTCTTATCACACCTTTTTTCTGATACTTCAGGATTTATGCAGTTTGCAAACAGAAGTCCCTATATGTCCTGTATTGTGCCCTAGAATCAGAAAGGAAAGATGGGGAAGGAAAAAAAGAGGAAAAAAAAAAAAAAAAAAAAGATGTTTCCAACAAATAGGACTAAACTGGTAAATCTGAAAGCTCCATTTCTGTTAAACTTTATTCTTTGCTTGCTCTGCACATCTGAATTTGTGATCTCTCTTTTGCCCTGAGAAATATATTTGTCACACAGCAAAGAAATGAATTAATCTATCAAACAACTGCTCAGTGACTAGGGCATGGGGAAAGAGTTTGTCCAGAGAGGCCAGCACGGAGGTTATCATTGGATTACAGGATAACAGCTATGTACAGAAACCCCAAGCGACTCTTGGCTTCTCTTGTCCTGGAGCAAAGTGTGTAACTCTTTATGAACTGTAAAGATGAGCTCACTTCTGATCAGTAAATAGAATATTCAGACTTTTTAAAGTATTTTCTTAGTTTATGACTACAGAGTTTTTAACTGCGGGAGACTATTACTCTGAGATATCATCTAAAAGATTCCAAAAGGAAAGGACTGTGATCTTGTTTCTTGTTTTACTTGGTAACAATATTCCCTATACATATAAGCCATTGAACAGATAATCTACCATATTCATCTGTTAGCAGCTCTATTAGTTACAAGATTTGATTTTTGTGCTTTAGTGCATTTACATGCATCTATTTCTGTGTGTGTACACATATGTATGTGCAAAACAGACAAATGCCTGGTACTTTATGTTCCTTCCTTACGATGCATAAAACAGCTGTAAAACACTAAGAACTCAGTCAGAATTACTGCAATATAATTGCAATTATCAGCCAGGTATTGCAAATTGAAATTGTAATGCCAAAACATGTTACAACTGCTAAACAAGCACTGGTACAGAAGTCACCTGTCTGGTGGCTCAGTTGTGTTTAGGCTGTCTTCTAAAAAGTGACTTTTTTTTTTCTCTCATCAGCTCTCCATCAAAACTTAGTTTTTCTTCAGAAATGAATAGTAATTATGTGGTCTCTGTAGCTGTAACCTCTTCTCTAAACCATGTTTGGGAAGCWAATGCAATTTTAATTTTGCCGCTGCTCCATGTTACTTCATTTGTTACTAAGCTTTACCAGAGTTGTTATCCATATAACTGTAGGGTTGTTTTCTCTTGCCAGGTATTATCAGTCGCCAGGAGGCAGAAGAGCTGCTAATGAATAAGTCTGAGGGATCGTTCCTGGTGCGGGTCAGTGAGAAGATCTGGGGCTACGCGTTGTCTTACCGCCAACAAAGCGGGTTCAAGCACTTTCTGGTTGACGCTTCGGGGGATTTTTACAGCTTCTTGGGGGTAGATCCAAACCGACACGCAACCCTCACAGATCTTATTGATTTTCACAAGGTAAGGCTTGCTGGCCGAGATCAATAGATGACTGGAGTGAATTAATAATTTAAAGAGGAACCATGTAATCGGAAACCGAGCTGGAAAGTAGAAGTAACCATAGTGGGGAAGAAATGTGTGTGCCTGTTTAGATATATGAATGCATTTTCTACAATAGGCCTAGCTGTAACATTTAAAGCTGCTTTCTTTTGTTGCAGAAAAGCAGGAAGCTTCTCACATTCTTTCAGGCTTTGAGCATGTATTTGTGTAACGTTCATGCCACATCCCTACGTGATGCCTGCTTTAAAAATGGGCAAAGAGCTAACAGAGCTAAAACTTTTTGAGCCTCTTCTCTGCAAAATAGGACTGGAAATACCATAAGAAAGAACTTTTATCAACATTTCAGCATTTTTCAGCCTTTGATGTGAGGGATGTAACATGCAGAAGCATAGCAGTGGGGCAMAATAGTAAAAAAGAGAATGTGGAAGGGTTCTTTTTAAAGGATGTGCAAGGAGGCTTTCCTGATTACTTATACCTATCTTAAGGGAATCATTTACTGTGAGTTTTCAGTGACTTTAGATGTCACTGAAATTATTTTTTAAATTATTTTTTAAATTGTTTTACCTCTAACTCATGTTTCCTCTTTGCCAGACTGTGACTAAAAGGCAGCACTCTTTCTGATACCGTAGGTTGTTTTCATCTTCTTATATCTCCTTCTCCATCTTTTTCATGTTTTAATCCTRCTTTTCTCTTTTAGACACCTATAAAATGTTTCTTTTCCTTGGCAGGGCAACCTACAGATAGTTCAAATCACAGCATTTTTGTCTGTTAATGTATTAATGTATTTGAACCCACTAATTAATATTAGCACAAATTTTCAGTGGCACAAGTACAAGTAAATCAAGAAAATGAATAGTTGATAAGATCCTTTTACTGCTSTGTACATTTTATCATGCATTTATTTGTAACTGGTTACCTGTTACACTTGAATTTCTTCATTGTTGCTTTTTTTTAGTAGACAGGCAAAGATTTAGACATCTCTGAATCTTATTTTAATTGTTTTTATCTTTCTAGGAGGAAATCATCACATCTTCAGGTGGGGAGTTACTGTTGGAGCCATGTGGGCAGCAGAAGAACCCACCAGACTACAGCCCTTTATTTGAATAACGATTTAGGACTAATAAGAATAAATTTTTGGGTAGTCCAATAATGCATAGGTACACAAATAAATGCAAATTACAAAATTAAATGAACTTTCAAAGCCACTTGTCTTGTGGCCAAAGCTATCCTCATTAGAATGTCCGAGATATTTCTGTTTCATCTAAACATGTTAAATTGCTGACAGATTAGAAGAATGGGAAGTATTCCCAGAAATTCTTTCAGGGCTTGTGGACAGCTGCATTGAAAGCTAAGGTTCTCTCGATTTTCACCTAATGTATAAAACTGAAAATGCAGAATTACATAATTCTAACGGCATGAACTACAGCAAGTTTACAAATCACTCAGTGGTGGAAATACAGTTTTTCTGAATGGGAGTAAATTTGCMGTTTAAAGCAGTACATTAAAGATGTGCAGTTCATTCTGGTTTGATTTGTACCAGCCATCACAATTCACAATGATCTTCTTGTGTTCTGAGCTTTGTGTTATGCATGCTCAGGAGTCCTGGTTTTTCTTGGCTGTAGTTCCAACAACTTTTCTAGCTGAGCTACCAGTGAAGGTGGGGGTGGGATGTGCATCCCCAGAAAAGGTACGAGTAATAACATCACTTTCATGCTATTTCATCCTTTCGAAATATAATGCAGTCTTTATGAATTTGTGATATCTATACATACTAAAAAACAGGAGACTAGATCTGAAGGCTATAGATCTATGTAAAATAGTTGCTCGGTGTCTGGACTATAAGCAAACTCATCACAATAGTTAATTTGGCCTCCTGAAGTGTGTGACCTGGCAGCCCAGAGCTCAGTGAGTGCTAGAGATGTAATCCTGCATTGGAATTTTGTGAAACTGTGATCTGGAGATTATCTGGAGATGGATCTTTAAAATGAAATAGAGCTCTGCAATCCTGAATACAGTAACACATAGGCCTCTAGTAACACTAGGCCTCTAGTAATATCTATAGTCTTTGTTAAACACGCAGATGCCTTTCTAAAGAGAAACCAAAAGAGATAGGTCTGACCTGGGGGCACAGACGCCTAGTACAGATCTTTACAGACACTTGAATCCAGCTACCAGAATGGTGCAGAGCAATTCACTTTGCCTTTCAGACTTGGAATCTGAAAAATCCATCACAGTGCATGAGAAAGTTGCTTTTTCTAATAGAAGATTTGCTAAGATGTGCTAGTTGACCCTCTCCAGGGAGCCCAGTATCTTCCTCCAAGAAGATTGCTCTGTGCTTGCTCCTGCTCCACAGGAAGCTAAGAACCAGCTCAGCCTCTTACTAGGATTCACAGCTGCATCCCTTTCATCACAGAAGAAATGGACCTTTAACTACTTTAAGTACTTTACTTTTTAACCTTAATTGTTTAAGTATCCATAGATTTCTCTCTAAGGCCGGACAGCAGCAGCTGAGCATGGAGGTGAAGGGGCATTCAGGGTCTAAAGACTACTGGGTACTTGAGTTGGTATTTAGACATGTGGACATCTTTGCAGACCAGTATTTTGCATTTATGAAGTCTAAAAAAGGCAAAGCACCTTCTCCTCTTTGGAATATTATTTAAGTTACTGTACACAGTTTTGGGAATGTTTTTAGACAATATAGAAGAACTTTTTTTCCATAAGGAAGTCACATTCATAGAGAGTGATAATACGGTTTTTTATATCTAGTGATATAATACCAGCAACTGTCTATGCTTTGCTTCATGGATAAGAAGGCTTGGAAAGCCAGTTCTTCAGCTAGTGTGTTCTGCTTCAATTTAATTAACATGTATAGGGCAACAGCATCATTTTCTTAAAAATACAGTTTTCTTAATTTTCTAAATGTTTCTGTTGGTATTCCATTCATTTCTCATTTTAGGCTTTACTCAATGTTAGAATAAATTCCTTGTAAGTTGCTTTGCAAATGAAATTACCGTCTGCAAAATCGCAATTTTATCTTGAGAGGTTTATTATGCTAATAAATGTCAGGATTCTCAAATAAAAGAATAGCTTTTTTTTTTCCCCACAGAGAAATAATGAAAAGCAGCCAGACAATTCATAGAGTGCTAGCAAAGAAAAACTCAACAATATATAACCAGAAGCAGCAGCAATAAAAAACAGTGCGACTTAGCTGAAGATAAATTTTGAGGGAAACAAAAGGAGAACATAGCAAGCAGAAATTAAGAAGAACAGAAGCTTTCCTTGGTAGAGATGTGCAGCTGCTGCCAACGCACTGGAGGGCAGTGGAGAAAGTACAAATGTGGAGGCAATATCTTCTAAGTGAACAATTGCTTCTTGTTCGAGAAAATAAATGGACTATGAAAAGATAACCACTTAGTAAGAGGAAGGAAGGGAAAGGGGAGAGTGGGTAAACATGGAAAATGGAGAAAATGAAAAMGGGAAAATGTGCTTATTCCATCATTTTAAAAGCATTTTGCTTGACTTGTGCTGCCTTGGGAGGGAGACTTGACACTGCTCAGAAATTTCAGCTGTAAAATGTGCTTGAGCTTTCTAGCTTGGTGCTAGATTTCATACACACAACAGTTGGGCTGGTCCATATTTCAGCCCTGAATGCTGGATCTCTTCCTCCCGTCTGCCTCTAGTGTTTAGTGCTGTCTGAAGCTGTTATCTYTTATCTTATTCTTTCTGGTGCTGCTGTTAACATTGCCTGAAATGGCCAGCTTTTTTATTCCTCTATTACACTGTAACCTTCAACTCTTGCTTCCTGATCTATTTTTCTAGTAGTAGCTATTGTTGAGTCAGAAGAGGTGCAGGTTATAGATTTTCATGATAAGATTTCCTGAGAATATTTCTTGTCAATAAGAYCACTATGAAGAGTGAGACCGGTTATGGTAATTCCATTTCACAGGGAAGCAACAGGAACTTCAAAATTCTTAACTGAATTGAACCTTTCTTTACATCTGTTTCATAGCAATGAAATATGGTATACATGTTTCTATGTTGGTATGCAGCTTTGGAAAAGCAGCTCTGGTGGATTTATTCTTGCTTCTTGGATCCACCAATGCATCTCTTCTGATTTTGTTTTAATATACACGTATCTCTCTAATTTAATAGTGCTGTCTTCTCTATAAGAGAGCGAAAACCAAGCAAAAAAATTGACAGCAATAATGGATAAATTTTCAAGCTTACTGAAAGTATATAGATGCCAGTTTAACATCTAATTGCTGTAATTAAATAATTATGTAGTGGGAATATCTGCATATTATTATACATATAAAAGCATAATCTGAGTCAACTATTAAGTACTGAATCTCTATTGTGTTGAACACTAAACAAAAGATAGTTTCTGCCTCAAGAAAGAGATGTCTACTTAAAAATGTTAATTACAGCAAAGATTACAGTTTTCAGACTTCCTGCGTAGAAATTGCTTCCAAAGGCCATGATAATTCAGCGTAAGAATTTCCACTAATTTCCAATTACTTTGAATCAAGGTCACTATGGAATATATACTTCTGTTTCTTTGTAAGAATAAGTACATTTGCATTACTTATACTCTGGAGTCTGATTTTTCAGGTTGCCAGGGTCTGACTTTCTCTTGTTTTATTATGCTTTTATTTTAAGTTTCCTTTCTTTCTCTCCATCACGATGGGGTTAGTAGCCTCTGTGAAGTAATAATGTGTCTCTGGCCAGGCTCTCAATTGCTGACTGAGGTGTCTGCGCTTGAACAGAGGTTTGATTTGTGTGTCCTGCGGTGAATCTTCTGGATACATGCTGTCTGATGATAATGATGCATAATTGATTTTTATAGCTRATTTCTTGCCATGCAAGTGCTGTGTGAAACTTTCTCTTCAAATATTTGTTTACTGCAAGTGATTAGTCCTATAGCTTGTATATTTACACTAGGGCCCATAGCTAATGCATATTTCCTACTAGGCTGGAGCCTTCAGTGAGTTTAGTTTCTTCTTTACTGGAATTTCTTCTGATGGTTTTAAAATAGAGTTCTATCACTTTATGGTATGTTTATTAAACATGTGTGATTTTTTTGAAGAGAAAAAAATAGCTCTGTTGTCACTTTGATCTGTGTGCAAAGGAAACACTGAGTTTAGCATGTTAATTTTGCTTTTAAAGTTTAGCTGCCATTTCTGCCCTGTTCCTCAGCTTTAATGAGAAGGTCATGTACTCACAGGCAACAAAGAGGAAAGCAAGAAGTGTTTTTATTTTGTAGAATTTTACATGTAACAGCTGACAACATTTTGAATTAATTATTTCCTGAGACATTGCTTCTGCTTAACATTCAGATGGTCTAGGCTGAGACCTACTATTATTTTTCCCTTATCACAACAGTAAAAGGTAAGGAAATATTCATACTGTGTGTGAAGAGGGCCCAAATGGAGTCGAGTCATGAAGGTTACAGTGCCCCAGAAAGAGTATAGAAGTAGCACATAAGAGAAAAAACAAACAAACAAAAAAAAAAATCCAACAAAAAGAACCCAAGGAAAGAGCAAGTTTGCATGCTAGCAGAAATGATTTGATACAGAATATGGTAAAGACAYATTTTATTTTGTAGGTATGTAAAATTACAAGTGTTTGCAACTTCCTGTTGGTAGAAGTCAGTTGGAATACTGACTTCTTAGAAAAACAAAAGGAGAAAGGAAGACTGAACATCAGTTCCTCTCCTGTGAACCTGAATCTCCTGAAAAGAAAAACAGAAATACTAGTCTTAGACAAGTTACTACATATTCTTGCAAGATATGTGGGATAAAAGATTTTTTGAATGCATTATCTACTGCTGTTGTGATTTGAAGAACATAAAGAATGGACACTGCTTGCCACATAAAACATCATTAACTTTTCAGTGTAACTGGGTAGCTCTATTGTTTGCTGATTCTTATGTGCTATAAAGTTATGTTGAAAAGTTAACCATGCTTTATGTGGAAAGCAGAGTTCATCTTCTTGTAGGAAATGTTGTCAATAGTACAAGCAAGAAAATGTCTCCTCATCTAGAAGCTGAAACTTAATAATGGACTTAATTATAGAAAATCATTTCAGAGCGGTCTGTGCATTCCACTTAGTAAGATAACCTCCTACCCTCATGTTTCTTCTTGCTCTCAAATTACTGTTAGCCTGGCACTAAGAAGTATGCTTTCAGTAAAAACATTAATTCAGCTTATACTTTATGGAAGAGTTAATAACGCGTATGAGAATCACTGTGATTTTTTTGTCATGAATACTCTCAAAGAATCACAGGGTTTGGAAGGGTCCTCTGAAAATACCTGGTTCAACTTCCCTGTGCAAGCAGGATCACCCTGAGCAGACTGCTGAGGACCACGTCCCATCAGGTTTTGAATCGCCCCAAGGAGAAAGAGAAAAAAAAAATTTTTTTTTTTTTTTTTTTAAAAAAAAGTAGGAGCAGTGACTGGTCCTACTTAGTCCTGGTCTGACTGC